ATCTACTCTTCCCGAAGGAGTAGCACAATGTTTTTGGTACTCATCACTAGACTTAGAGCTACTTCTGTTGTCCTAACATGTAAGGTTAAGATTTCACCATGGGATCCAGGAGAAAGTTGATTTAGAAGGAGAATAATCTCTTATTCAAGCATACAGTTCTCCTGTAATAGCAAAGGAGAGAAGGTGGGCAATCTAACTTCCTTTCATATAGACGTGTTTCCTTCAAGCTTTCTTAGAGTGAGGCATTGTCTGCTCCTGCTTGTAGCTGAATCAGATTATTTTCCCCTAGGCTATATCCCTCTGTTGCCTATAGCAACCAGGGACAAATATGAGATGTGTAATCTAGATAAGTTCTGGTTCATTCTGTATTTGTTAGAGTGTATTCATTCTTTAGTAGACTACACTGCTGTATTTTTAAAAATGCAAATGTATCTGGTGGAGTGCTTGATCTGGGGAGGAAGGTTAAATTGAATCTGTATCCAATCTTAGCATTCTTGGCAGCAGTGCAGCTCCTGGACCAATCAGCAGAAAAACCTGCCTGCTAAATGGATCCAAAATCTGTAGACAAAGTGGGTGAAGTAGTATCTTTCATTTTCCCACTTCTGTATCCCTTCACCTTGGATTGTCCCGTATGTGCTGACTGCCCATGTATTTAGCTGCAGCACTCTCGTTGCCTTTACCGGACCTGTAGAAGAGCTCCGTGCAGGAGCGGTGGAAGCTCACTAAGCGCAAGGGAATGGGGAGGGGCACTATATGTGACTGAACTGAGGTCCTGCCCCTTGTGCTACTCCTTCCCGCCTCAGACAGTGCTCTTGTGTAGGGTTGCCAGGTGTCCCGTTTTGAACCGGACAGTCCAGTATTTGAGCTTTCTGTTTGGGAAACAAATTGAGAAAATATAAATGAGAAAATAGAAATGTCCAGTATTTTCTAAATAAGATGTAATGTAGATTGTGATGTAATGTCAAGTGTGTCCGGTATTTTTGTTGAAACCGTCTGGCAACCCTACTCTTATGCTGTCTCTTCCTCCCAAGACCCTACCCCTGCTCACTTCTCATTGCCACTCTTCCCCATTGCTCACCGTTATGGCTGGTAATAAGTGAAGGCCCTGTGATGCCTGCCCCCTCGTTCTAGTGCCCCTGGCTCTGTGTGGCTTGAAAGCTTGTCTCTCTCTCCCCAGCAGAAGTTGGTGCAATAAAAGCTATTACATCACCCACTATGTCTCTCTCGGATGTGGGGCCCAACGTGGCTAAAACTGCACCCAAAATCTCTAGTGATCTATCCAGACAAGTGAATGCGTCTCTCGAAGGACCTGTCTTCACCCTCTGGGACCTCTGAGAAAATTAAAGCTCTCCAGCATCTGCAGTGTAGGAAGCCTGGAGCCTGGTACACACAGGGACATTATTTCCCAATGTTGCTCATGTTCCTCTCCACAATAGAGTGGGTTGGAAAGTAGGGGGTGGGATTTTCTGCAAAAAGGTTTGATTTTTGGTTAAAATAACCTCATTAGAAACTGGATTTTTTCCCCCAGAAAGCAGACCCGTTCTGCAAATACCTTAGTTTAATTGAGCCAGGTCTACAAACTTACACTGAATTAGCTATGCTGCTCAGAGGTTTGAGAACTCCACACCGCTAAGCGCTGCAATTACACCAACCTAGCCCCCCCCCCCCCCCCCCCCCCAGTATAGACAACCTTATGTCAATGGGAGAGACTCTCCCATCAACATCATTATGTGCCCCTAGCAGAGATGAATTAACTATGCTTATGGGGGGAGGCTTTCCTGTTGGCATAGAAGTATCTTCACAGAAATGACATAATAGAGCCTGGGCATCTCAAACTTCCAGTATTTCACTGGAAAAAGTTTTTTAGTGGGAAATGCTTGACTCACCCTAGTTAGCAACCTTTGTAGCTGCAGCATGGATTGGATGACATCTGCTTCTGTCATTCAAAACACTGTTATCTGACCCTGTTAAAAAGCATATTGTAATTTCATTTCCAAATTATGTAAAAACCTTTGACCTTTGCAAGGCTGTAGCACAGAAGTGGGCTATAATAAGACAGTGGTGGTTCGCCAGGGTTAGCCCTTGGCAGGCCACTGCCACTATATTTACTTGCGCCTCTGCATGTACAAGGGCTACCACTTCCTGCAGCTCCCATTGGTTGGGAAAGGCGATCCATGACCAACAGGAACCACAAGCACCTGGTCCTACAGAGGTGCAGGTAAATACAGCAGCAGTGGCCTGCCAAGGGTTAACCCTGGTAAATCAAATCTGTCTTGTAGATGGTTATTGCCCACTGCTGCTGTCGTATGATGCAGAAACAGAGTGCCCTGTGTGATATGTACCCAAAGCATAAATTGTTTCTGGAGACTAAAGTAGTCTAGTCCCCTGACAGCCTAAGTTAACGTAGATTCTGAAAGCATCTGAGGAAGTGAAAAAATTTAAAAAACAAATAGTTCTGCAGCAACTTAGAGACTAACCAAAAATGTAGATGGTATCATGAGCTTTCGAGGGCATAATCGCTTGTTCAGGTGAATGGAGTAAGGGGTTCAGGGTACAAATAAATAGCAGAAAAGAGACGGGATGGGGAGGGAAATGAGTTGAATCTCACAAAAGCTTATGCCCTAATAAACATGTTAGTCTTTAAGGTGTCAAGGACTCCTTGTTATTTTTGCTGAAAAAGAGTAACATGGCTACCTCTGTAAACACTGATCTGGGTAGCTCTGTTTGCTCCAGAGATGTGAATTTTGTAGGGAATGAAGCCCTGACGTCCTCTGTGTTTGAATCCCTTAATCTGCTTGCAAATGAGGCACAAATGAGTCTCATTAACCATAGTTTAAAACTTTTGTGGATGCCAAAGGGGGAAGAGGGGAGGAGAGCAATGTGCTGGCAAATCTATAGATTGCGGAATAGATGCTCTTGTCATTGTGAAAGTGGCTGCAAGTTGAAGCTACTTTGTGTTTCAAGCACTGTAATAACTAGACCTGCTTTGAACAAGGTCAGATAACATGGTGTTTAGAATGTCAGCAACCCATCCACATTGCAGCTCCCATATATGCTGTCCAGTTCAGTCTTACCCATCTCTGGATCCATCATGTATATACCTCTTGAGGCAAATTCTGTCTTGACTTGTTTCCCAGGAAACATTACTGACTTCAGGACTGATTTCTGCCTTTTATGTATATTTGGGGAACCCTTCTAATGAGTGTGTTGTGTTAGGGGAGCTTTCTTAAACTCTCTTTGCCAAGCTTTCAGATTGAAGTAAAGATACCAAGGGAAGAAGGTCATTTCTAGGGCACCAGTCAATGTAGCATGTAAAATGCTAAGTTTCCATAAGATTAGCATAAGATTCCAGGGCAGAATGAGCTTCTTCCTATTTTGAATTCAATGACTGATTTGCCTAGCTGAGAACTCTGGGAGGGGTGTGTGTGGGGGTGTCTTGTTAACCTTGACAACATTATGGACAGATCAGATTTCTCTCACACACACTCACCTACATGGATAAATTCTTATGTCTGATACATGCAGTTAAACCTTTAAAGTTTAAACCAACAATCACATCAATATTCAGAAGCTTCAGGGGGTAGCCAAGTTAGTCTGTACAGGATAAACTTAAAAAATAACAAATGGTCTGGTAGCACTTTATAGACTAACAAAACATATAGATGGTATCATGAGCTTTTGTGGGCCCATTTGTTGTTTTTAAGTTTATCAATATTCAGGTTACTCTGATTCCAAATGACTTGTCACACTAGGTCAATTGCACTTTATATCTTATACCAAAGACAGCTCTTGTAGCCAATTCTATAATATACTGACTAAAGATTTAGCTAACAAGAAAGAAATTATTTATTTACAAGATTAAAGAAGGTAAGCATACACACACAAGTTAATCTTCGATTTCAAAAGATGGAAAAACTTCTATAATGAGCAAGCTCTGTGTGCCTTTTCAAGCTACCCAGGCTAAGCACTGGGGATCCTTTGTTCATGCTTAGTAATGCTTGCTTCTTAGAGCCCAAGCAGCAGAGTTCAAGCTGATGGGTTGAGTTCTCATGCACTTTTCAAGGGTATATGTATGTGGATAGTGTATATTGGACATTAAGACTGGCACTACTTATCCATTGATTGAGGGGAATCGGAGACAAAGGTTGAGACTTCCACACTCTGGCCTGTTCTGAGTAGCTGAGTCTCCGGGATATTATGGGTAATGAAAAGAAACAATCACTTAGTAGATTGTGCTTTGCACTCTGGGAAAGATGTACTCCCTGAGTAGCCCTTTTTGCTCTGATGGTTCAGTATTTCCTATAATCAGGAGGCACATTCCCTAATTTGTGCAATTGCAATGCTAGGGTGGGGTACAGCCTTTCTGAGACGGCAATATGTACATTACCTGTCCCTAGCCCTCTCATCCAAGAATCTCAAATCATTTCACAATAACGGATTTTCTTCTCACAATAATGCTAGCAGGTTGGGAAACCCAGCCACAGACTGCCTAAGGATGGATTTACCAAGGTATTTAGGCACCTAAGGATGTAACTAGGAGCTTAATGGGATTTATAGAAGTGTCTAAGACAATTAGGCACTCTTGTAAATTCTATCAGGTGCCTAGCTGCATCTTTAGGTGTCTAAATATCTTGGTCAATCTTCCCTAAATGGCATTTCCCCAGGGCACATGGGAAGACTGTGACAGTGCCAGAAAGTCTCTTGACTCCCAGTCTTGTGGCCCAATACAAGCTCATCCTTTAGTTCACCTGAAATCCAGCTGTTTTGTGAAAAGGTCCAGGTAACTGCTGCACCTGTTGTCCTGCACAGAATAGCTATTGGCTAGACAGGGGTTAATACCTTTTGTTAACACGACCCAGTCCAGTGTTAGTTCTAGGAGTGCTCTGACTGAACTTTAGACACCCGTGCATCAAACAAACAACAGCCATAAAGCTCTGTCTTCCAAGTTTATTTTATTTGCTTGGGAAAAACAAATGCATGTCTCTCTTCTCTCTTGGCAGAACCAGCTCCTCGCGAAGGGCTTGCTGTTTATAGAGGAGAAGGTTAAGCTGTGTGAAGGCAAGTATAGAGAGACCATTTTGGAATGGGATCATGGAGACCCTTGTGAGTCAGCCTTTGATGTTTGGACAGCTGAGATGCATCTATCCTAACGTCATCATCTCCAAATGATTCACACCACAGGAAGCTTGAAGGCCCTATCTGTGCAACTGAGATTGCTTGTACTAAGTCTTGCTTGGGCTAGCATACAGCTGAATTGTTTAACACATCCTTGCTACCCTATGGGGAACTACATTGTATTCCAGCCTGTATGTTGCTTGCAGCATGTTGGATCTTGTTGAGTCAGAAGGATGACTGAGACTTTTCCATCAGTCCCAGTCTTCCCCAGGAAGGCTCACACATGGTACTGCAGTGAGATTTAGACCAGTTTCCAAATGCGCCATCCTTGACGTGAATCCTGTGCCCCGGCTTGTTAACAGTGTTAAGCCCCTACACGCTTTTACAATATGTCTTAAGATGGTTTGAAACCTTGCAGAGAGACCTGAACTCATGAGTCTTGGGACCATAACAATAGTGCACTTGAGGACATGTGCTCCCTAATCTGGGAACACACCTGATGTGGAGGAGGAAATGGCTCTGCTGACTCAATTTCGTGGCCTTTTTGATCATCAGCAAGCCAGCATCTCCATTGACCCAGTTTTTCAGGGCCAATAAATGACAATAATGGCGCATACTCTTGCACTGCTGGATTCCTTAGCACTGCTATCTTTTAAGCTGGTACCTCAACCTCTGGATTGCCATTGAGCAGCTAGGTAATTATAGTGTGAAGGTTTACTAACCTCCTTTTATAGGGACCACCTTTCATTTCACTTACTATCCACTTCTTTGGTGCAAGTTCCATAAAAGAGAATCTGAGAGGAATGGAGTCTGCACAGTATATCTAAGTGTTTGTAGGTATAACTTAAATTGCTGAGGGATGTGATTAAGGGTCCCCACACCTAAACAATGTAAGTTACACCCACCTAGATGCTGGTGTGGACAGCACTTTGTTGGTGGAAGAGCATCTCCTGAAGGCATTGATACTGATCTCACAGAGGTGGTTTTATTATGTCAGTAGGAGAGTTGTCTCCCAGGCTACATCTAGACTGCAGGCTTCTTTCGGAAGAAACTTCTCTGGAAGAGAACTTCCGAAAAAACTTTTTTCGAAAGAGAGCGTCCACCCTGCCAAAGCGCATTTTTAGAAAGAGAGCGTCCACACTGAATGGACGCTATCTCACATGTAAGCTGTGATTACTATGGACGGAGTGGCCACCAGGGTAGCTGTGCTTTTTCCTCTTTCCTTTTCTTTCGTGAGAACTTCCTCTTCCCTGTCCACACAAGCTTTTTTCCAAAAGAGCTCTTTCAGAAAAAGGCTTCTTCCTCGTAGAAAGAGGTTTACCAACGTTGGAAAAACCCTTCTGTTCTTTTGATTTTTTTTTCAAAAGAATGCGATTGCAGTGTGGATATAATTGAAGTTTTTTCAGAAAAATGGACATTTTTCCAATAAAACCTCTGTAGTGTAGACTGCCACTAGCCAGTGGCATAGAGCATCTTCAGCAGATGAACTGTGGATGCACTGCTGTAGCATTTCTAGCAGAGACTATGGGTAACCTGCACCCAGTAACCTAAACAGGAATCTCTGTCCTTATGTTACCAGCTCCTCTGCTTTCTATAGGACAGACATTGACCAGTTAACAAAACTCCAAACGAACAAAAATCCCTTGTAAAACTGCCCCAATTTGTGATTCAGATCCCATTGGCAGTGGGTTTGTGAGTCATCCATCATCATATTAAAATGAAACAAAGGTGCCAGCATGTGGCTGCTGACAGCTTGGAAAAGATGTTCCAGCTAGACAGACAAGGGCCTTGCTGCTGCCCTTTCATTCGTTGAAGTGGCCTTATAAACGTGGCGCTTACAAGAGTTAAGATCACTGTGATGCAGTTAAGAGACAGATGATTCATGGAATTTCCAAGCATTGATTTTTTTTTCTTCTGCTTTCTTTTATAAATGTATCACTTTGTTCCAGAGAATCCAGCGTGTGGTCGCTGCAACGAGAGCTGCTTGTGCCTACTTCTCAGTTAGTTTTGACTTCCAAAAGAGAGCTCCTTTCCCAGTTCTGAGACGAAGGCATGCCGAGCAGCAGTGTTTTTAGTGCAGGTTTTTCTTAATCAGAGCGTGTGATTTTTATGTGGCACTTCACATTCCTGTAGGATTTGCACAGTTACACTACTTCCCTAATCTATGGATTACCTTTCCTTTTATTTTCAGCTCCGCACACTACAACAGCTCAGCCCTGAGACAGATAGGGGAGGGATCCAGAAACTTGTCCATATACTCAGAGATTCTAAGGCCAAAAAGGACCATCATGATCATCTATTGTGATCTCTTGCACATTGCAGACCATAGAACCTTGCCCACCCACTCTTTGTATTAGGGCCAATACTTTTGGCTACGGTACTGAAGTCCTCAAATCTTTATTTACAGACTTCAAGTTACAGAGAATTCACTGTTTACACTAGTTCAAGTGACCTGTGCCCTGCACTGATTGATAGGGAGATGAACATCCCTGCCTGCCCTCTAGCTGGTCTCTGCCAATCTGATCAGGAGGGAAATTCCTTCTAGGACTTCTATTAGCCCATGTGGCTTAGAATGGGTGACAGAAGATGGATCACTTGATGCATTACCTGTACTGTTCAGTGCCCCCGGCATTGGCCACTGTTGGAAGATAGGATACTGGGCTAGATGGACCTTTGGTCTGACCTACTATGGCCATTCTTATGTTACATTTAATCTCCACTCCATCCTCAGTACATAACAAGGTCCCACTTCTCTCTTCCCACCACTCATTAGATAGTGTGAATTCAATGGATGATTTTTTGGTGTATTCTTGCAGTTGACATTAAAAAGCAGATATGGGGCCTGATCCTGTAACCTGTTGAAGTCAATGAGGCCTTTACTCCTGGGAGACAAAGCTTGCAGAATCAGGCCCTATGGTTGCAGGTTCTCTTTCTTATATCACAAGTCAGGTGTGCTACAGTCTTGCTGAAGGAAGAATCAGTAGGAAATATGAAAACTCAGTCACATGGGTTCTCGGTTGTATGACTTTCAGTCTACATTTATTTTAAATATCCAAACATTGACTTTTGGGGCTTTTGTTGTGGCTGCCTACCTACAATAGGAGCATTTGAACCTGGTGAGTTTCCAAGTTTAAAACCTCTCTCCGGTGGAAGAAGTGCTCTCCTCCTGATGACTTTGTAGTTTATCACACAGGTGGGTGGGTTCTGGGGTTTCTAGATCTCTATTTGGGGGAGGGAGAATCTCAGAGGTAATGTAGCTGGCAGGATAGTCCCTACTAATATGCAAAACATATAGCCATCTGGAGCACCATGAAATCTGGGGCACCAGATTGCCCCAAATGTTATGGTGCCCTATGCAGCTGGGTGCTGTGTATGAAACCACCCAGCCCCAGCCTCACCCTGATCTTCCACCCAAGAGCTCTGCACCAGTTTGGCAACCCCCAGCCCTATTCCCTAGATGTCCCTGTGGGCTGTGTCCAACTCCCATTCACCAGCCCAGCAGCAAGCAGTATGAGCATGGGTCAGAGGACTCAGGAGGTGCAGAAGAAGGTTGCACAAGGGTCAGAGCACTCAGGAGGTGCACAAACTCCTTCTGCACCCAGTGTCTGGAAAGAAGTGGTGGTTTCTCCTTTAAAATGCTGCTTCTCTCAAGCCAGTGGTATGACATCCTCTGCTTCTCCTGAGTCCTTCTGCCCTCACTTGCACTGCTTGACACCACTGCTCCTCTGAGGCTCCAGGTAAACCTCTCTCCCTGCCCTGCTCAGGGGTTGCCAACTCTCCCACACCAGACACCGTATCAGCTAATTACGTCTGATCTTGGAGAGCTGGGAATCCTAGCTTCTGCCCCGCCTCCCAGCCTTCTCCCTTCAGAGTAGCTGCTCCCACCAAGGGGAGTGGGGCACCAGTGCTGGGCTGCGTTGGGCACCAGCATTGGTAGGGACAGCGCTGGTAGCTGGTTAAAGAGGCACGTGTACCGCATTGGCTCCTTCACTCAGCCTCTGGGCTCTTCCTGCTTGCTTCATGCACAGGCAGAGCTTCTCCGTGTGGGACTGTAGTAGAATATCAGCTTAATGGTAATTTGGTGCTTTTTAATTGCAACATACTTGACCAGCGGAGATAGACTCTGTTACCTAATGCACAACAAAGTAAAAGTGTCACCCTTTTACTTTGATTGGGTTCTTTTACATCTCATGTGGAACAGTGTTCTTAGAGCTGGGAGAGACTCAGCAGTTTCTGATCATAGATTTGTTCCCCTTCTCACTTTTTTGCTGTGAACAAATACAAAACAAAATGCAACTGAGGCTGCCAGGATTGGAGATCTTATATGTGGCGAATTTGTGATGCTTTCCTATAAGGTAAAGAGCATGGGGACATTTGAACAATTGCTAAAGGTTTTTTTCTCCCTCCCAATTCCTGTGCTTTTAGGCAAGGATCGCATTGATATCCTGTCTGAAATCTGGGATCACTTCTTCACGGAGACCCTTCCCACGCTCCAGGCAATATTCTACCCTGTCCAGGTAAACCTGATTAAAATACAGTCTGGGAGATGGGGCAGAAATGCAACTGCAGCACCTGCTTCGTGGTCTCTTGGTGCTTCCCGTCCATCCCTATTCTACAGCAATCAAGGCTCCATCTCTGCTGGATAAACAGGTTTTAAAAACTTTAAACCGTGGTTTGGGCTGCAGGGGCTCCCAGTGAACTATACAGATGGAACTACTGTGATAAACTAGCTCCCGAAGGCAGAGTGCAATGTTTTGCATCCTCTTCAGCTGTTTGGAGCCTGTCTGCAATGGAATTTAAACAGTGCTTAAGCACTGATACCACTGGACTGCACTTGGGCCTTGTCTAGGCTGAGGATTTGTCCCAAGTATTATCATTCATGCTTTAGTCATTGCAGTAGTGGTAGCTTCTTTGCTGCAAGTAATGGCTTTGCCCATTTGTACTAGGGGATAGCACTGATACTGTCTGTCAGTCACTGGAGCAAATCCTGAGTCTAGGTCAGGCGGAAAATTTTTAAAGGTTTGTATGAAGGTCTGGAATTTGAAGTTAGTCACTTAACTGTCATTTGTGCCCTTGAAAGCCTCTCCCTTGGTCTCACATATTTATGTATTTACAGTACCTGCATAGGTAAGTGATATGACTCTGGTTTCTCTCTAAATCCTGTTTATGAGGCTAAGCAGCTAAGTGCAGCACTCCGGAAGGATATTCCATTTTAAATCTATATTACACTTCTTTAATTTGCTTAGATTGTAAGCCCATTGGGGGCAAGGACTATATTTTTTCTTCCTAGACACTACTGTAATACAAATAATAATAGTTTTCATTGGGATTTCCAGCACCAGCAATCCTAACTGCTTAGAGTTGAGAAATTAGCATGTTTACAACTTCTCTTCAGTCATGATTGGATGGAAAAGGCACCAAAAGCAACTGTTCTGAGTAGAATGAAAGTCTTAGAAATGTTAGGTCGTCCCATTTGGCCTGTCTCTGCTCCTGGAAAAGCCAACTCTAGATACGTTTGATTTTTCCTTTTATCATTTGAAAGTCAGCAGGTGACATATGCAGGTTGCCCTTTCCCAATGTTTAAAGTTGGCATTTCCTAAAAGCGGCCGAGAGGACTTATCTAAAGATGATTGCTAGCCATGCCAACATATTGTTTTTATTCTCTCCTGGCTGTACTTGCTGCAGATGCTAGAAGGTATGTGGGAGTGGAGTACATATGAAATTGTGTAACAGAGAAGTCTTTTTACTCTGTGCTCTGTGTGTGTACAGGTGTGCATGCTCATATGCACACACAATCTGGAGACAAGTAGGCAGATGTGATTTGTGGTAGCACTCGGGAGGTTCACCAAGTCCAAAATTTTGCCCCTGCCAAAGTTTAAATTACTAAATTCTCCCTCGCAAGCACTAATCACCCCTGCATGGAATGCCCTAATCTACTAGGGTGAGATGCCAAAACCTGGTTTTTAATGTACTAAAATCCTGAGGAGAAGAATCTTTCTTTTCATTTTACTGGGAATTGCTTCTGCTCTCCTTGTTTTTAATAGCTCTCCTGGCTACAGAAAAAATGATCCCATGTTCCTAAGTGGTGACATCCTTTTCCCCTAATGGCTCCAGCGTTCTACTAGGAAAATCTCTTTGCTGCTTTACAGTGTCTCAATAATGAGAAATAGAACAAAAGTTACTGCAGAACTCTGTGACTTTTTAAAGTCAATGATATGAAGGGCTGAATGCTGGAAATCAAAATCCTTTGTATTTTATTTATTTATACACTTTTCTATTGCTTATATCCCAGTAGTATTCAAGAACTTCAAAAACATGTCCTTGCAACCATTGTTTCCTCTAATCTTTTCCATCCATATGTGGAATAATTTTGATGTGCAACCAAGCATGTGCAACTGTGCACCACTAGAAACAAAAATCTAACTGTGGGCATTCTGCTGATCAGTCGGGTGGCATTTGAATGTCTCTGAGCACCTGCACCAGTGCACAGCTTATAGGGAACGCTGCTTGCACTATTGGGCAGCACTATTCCTATTTTACAGAGGAAGAACTGGTGCACAGAGAGTCTAAGGCGAAGACTGCACTACACTGCTTTTAGTGACACAGCTTGCCTGCTGACAAAAAACTTCTACCCCAACAAGCTTGGTTAGCTTTGATGGAAGGAGAGTGCTACTGCTGACAAAGTGCTGTTCGCACCAAGACTTGTTTTTGGGGACGGAAGGCAGGGGGTTAACAAAAGATAAAGTTTTGTTGTTCAATTGCCAATGTAGATATAGCCTAAGTGATTTGCCACAATCACAAAGGGAATTGTGGGTAGAGCTGGGGACTGAACGCAGATCACTGGATTCTGTGTCCGTTGCCTTAATAACAAGAAGAGTCTCCTCTCCCTGCAGAAAGGAACTGTATGTATTCACACATCTGGCCTGGCAAATTTCTTTCATCAAAATTGATTCTGTGCTTGAGGAGAAACCTTTTTGAGTGAAGGGGTCCTGTCAGTCATCATACCCATATTCAGTCTGTGACTTCCCTCCATCAAATGCAACTAAGGGTGTAGCAGGAGCTTTCATGATAGGGAGAAATGTCCGCTTGGAATGAAACGGAGCCCTTCAACCATAAGCTACAGAACTTCCATACTATGGACATGACTTTTGGCAGTTAAGCATCTCAGAGAGGTTTGAACCTGTCACCTAGGTATGACCCTAAGATATTCAGTCCCCTATGTTGCCAACTAGATGCATACAAGTCACATTCTCTCTCTGAAGGGTATGTCTACGCTTGCTGCCTAGTTCGAAGTAGGGATGCAAATGTAGCCAACCAAAATTTCTAATGAAGTGATGTTTTAAATATCCTGCGCTTCATTAGCATAATCTCGCCCGCATGCTATTCCACTCGCCAGCTGATTCGAACCAGGAAGTGCGTTCTGGGACGTGTTAGTTCGAATTAAACCCCTTGGTTCGAATTAACGTTACTCCTCACCTTTTGCATCCCTAGTTCGAACTAGGGAGCAAGTGTAGACGTACCCTGAGTTGCTGAAGTCAGAATGACTGCCCTGCTGGGCTTATGAAGAAATATAAGAGCAAATCTTTCTCTTTGCTATGGAATTTCTGTTTGAACTGTTTGAACTGAGATAGTAAATTTAATTGGATTACATTGATACAGTAGGAATAAAAGGAAAAAAGGTGTCATGTTATTGCTGAGATACATTTCATAGCTCTATGCAGCTCCTTTTTATACCTGGCATTGCCAAACAAGTATTGTGATGTCTTAAGAAAGCAAAACAGTCTTGGCTATAGGTCTTAAGTTATTGACATACTGATGTAGCTATTAATTGCAACACTAAATCCATTCTAAATTAATGGTTAACTGTCCTTGATTTCCTCCAGAGATTTGCCTAACTGTGTTAAGGGCGCTGTAAAAAGATCTTAAAGCAGAATATAGGGCAGAGATAAATTCCCTCAGAAGAGAGGAGGGAGGGACTGCACACTGAAAAACATTTGGGAGGGATGGGAAGAAAGTTTGAGCACTGAAATCTTAGCTGCAGTTGGCTTAATGCTACAGTAGACTGTGGTGTGCATGTTAGGCACAGCGCTGGGTTACTGTGGCACTGGAATGTTGGATGGAGTTCAATTGTGTTTAAATATGCTGTGAAATATTTCAACATCTTCATCTGTTAAATCTTTGCAGATGCTTTATCGTTAATGTTAAAAATGAAAACAAAACATTCCTTTAACCTACTTGCACTGGAAAGCCAAAGCCACCCTCAGTGGAAAGGCTTGGGCAGGTCTTGGTCTGGCCTAAAGTGAATAATAAACATAATGAATAATTACATTTTATTTGTGTGTTTGGAATTTCCAATGCTAAATGTTGATGTTCGGTGTGGGCTTGACACTGAACACCAACAGGTATAGTCAGGTGCATACTATGCAAAGTCCTCCCCTTCCAGCTTTGCCAGTGTGGCTTAAGTCCGGAGCAGCAATGCAGATGGCTGTACCAGTCCTTGGCTTCTGACCGTTAATCCTAATCAACTAATCAACTAAATTAGGTTGTTTGGGTCTTGTGAATACCTGTCATTTGCTGATGAATGGCTCATTTAATTCCCTGACTGTCACTAGGTCTGTACTTCAGGGGTCAGTCACTCATAGATTAGAAACCGAGCACATTAGGTGCTCTCTAGATCAGTTACTCAACAGTACAAGGAATCACAAGGACAAGCAATTGGTGCGTGTTCTACCATAACAGCACAAAACAGTAATTTGCAAGACAGGCTCTGTGTGAGTGTGTGTGTGCATGCATGCGTGCAGGTGTGTGTTATGTGCATGCACACACACGCACATTTTCAAACTGTATTTTTTCAGGGTCAGGAATTGACTATCCGCCAGATTGCCTTGCTTGGCTTCAGAGACTTGGTCTTATTAAAGGTGAAATTGGAAGAAATTCTTCCTCTCGTCCAAACAAAGCTCCCAGCTTCCATTGTCCAGATGCTGCTGATTCTACAGGTAGGGAGTTTTTTCTCCTTCAATTTCTCTCTCTCCCAGACACGTACATCTCACAGCTACCAATTCATATTCCCCCTGGAAAGAGGAAAAATAGGGTGAGAAGGCGTTGTCTGTGTTGTTTTGAGGAAGTTGGACATGAAAGTGACCTAAACTGAACATTAAGCATTGTGGTTTGAGTTTCTTGAGTAAATGGATAAGAGGGGGTCAAGCTGTCCCTATGGAAAGGAAATTAACCAAACTCTGGGTCTTGGGGCTTTTTTTCTTGGTCCCTGAGAAATCCCAATGCTCTTGATTTTCTTCCCCACTTACCTTAGAGCATTTCTAAATACCTTAAGCTTCTGATTACAATTCTCATACTTGCAACCCCATATACCAATTCTTCTAGTTCAACAGCTTTACATTGATTAAGGAACAGTCTCCCTCACTCATAAAAGACAAAGGAATCTGATGAGCACAGGCTTTCTCAGCTATGGAGGGGATTGAGTTGGGCTCCAGCTTTGTCTGGAGTGAGGGGAAGAGCGCTGATGGGAAGAGTACCTTTGGCATCAAGCTATGGGCTATAGATCTCTCAAGCAGTACAAAGCTATGTCTACACTACAGAGTTTTTGCGCAAAAACTTGTGGAGCATCCACACTACAAGCCTGTTCTTATGCAAGAAAAAGTACAGTAAAGCGTAAGAACACAGGGCTTTTTGCGCAAGAGTTACTCCTCTCCCCATGAGGAATAAGCCTTTTTGCCTAAGAGCTCTTGTGCAATAAGGCATGTGTGGACAGGCAACAGGGGTTTCTTGCGCAAGAAACCCCTATGGCTAAAATGGCCATCAGAGCTTTCTTATGCAAGAAAGTTCCACACTGCCATGGATGCTCTAGCACAAAAGCACATCTCTTGCACAAAAGCACATAGCAATGTGGACATGCTCTTGCGCAAGAACTTTTTGTGCAAGAACTCTTGCACAAACAGTTCTTGCGCAAGAAGCCTGCAGTGTAGACATAGCCCAAATGTTTCAAGGGGACCAATCTATCCACCCAAATCTCAAGGGAATAGGAGCAAAATCTTCCAAGTATGATCTGTGCGTCCAAGTGTACCATGTACATCATCACCTCAAACAGCTTGATGTGGAAACCATGGAAAATATATAGATTCCAGACCATTACTTAGATTCCTTTGGCTTTTATTTCCCTATAGTGTCCTTGGATTTTTTTCTTTTTAAAAAAAGCCAGAAAAAAAAGAGGAATTACAGTTTCTGAAATACAATCAGTGTGGAAAATCACTTAGCTTGTGTTTACCTAAGAACTATTAGTTTTCCAGCAAAATTATTGGAACCCAAGTGGTGCTAAAAGGAGCCACCAGAGTGGCAGCTCAATATTCCCTTAAAGATTTTAGGAAAAAACAGGCGAGGGGCATATCTAGACTACGCCACGGTTGAAAGAGGATATGCAAATTGACCGGGAATTTGCATATCTTCTTCTGATCGCACTTTCTAAAGCTCCATTAAAGTAATTAAGATGTAGCTTTTTCGGTGAGCCCCCCTTAGTCGAAAAGCTGTGTAAACCTCCTTTTTTAAGGAAGAACAGCTTTTTGACGAAGGGGTGGCTCGCCGAAAAAGCCGCGTCTTAATTACTTTCACTTTCTAAAGCTCTGCTTTCAAAAGTGCAATCAGAAGAAGATAAGCTTGCATATCCTCTTTTGACCATTCGGCATAGTCTAGATATGCCCCGGGGAGTGTGGAGAGGTAATCAGCAGAGTGAGAAATGTTACATAATCATTAAAAGGAGAAATGCTTAGTGAGGCTTTGCAAGAAAACTAGAAATCTATAATGAGTTGTTATCATCAAACACTTCTGTTGGTCTCAGAGGGATAGCTGGGTTAGTCTGTAACTGAAAAACCTAAAAAAACAATGGTCCTGCAGCACCTTAGAGACTATCTGTTAGATAGGTTAGCTTTATCCACTCCTTTACAGCTAAACAAAGGAGAAGAGGGGGGTGGTGACTCATAGTTCCAGTTTGTGAAGGTGCAGTAACTTCCCCACGTCACTGTAAGGGCTTATCTTTATAGGGAAATTTACTGTCAGAACTTTAGCAGTATTCGTATACAACTAGAGTTATATAGTTACACCCGACACTTATTCTGGAATACAGTGGTCTTTGTGATGCTTTGCAACATAAGCAAAACCAGAAAATGAATTCTTTTTGCAGAATAAGTGGGTCCACAAACAAATAGGGCCCTTCTCTAGGTTAGATTATGTTGCTGAGTTCATAAAGATACTCTTGTTCCAGAATAAGATGTTTAGACTCGGAGTTATACTGGCATAACGTCAGTGATATAATTCTTCCATAAATACCCCCCATGTATCTACTCCCTTAGACAGGAGGGCTGACAGAATTGCTGGACCCTAGGCAAGAAGGTGGGGAGGGCAGCCCTGCACTCCCAAAAGGGGTGGTGCCTCGGGTGGAAAGAGCAAAGGTGGGAGCTAGCTTTCCCTCCCGCTCACCACCACTTGCCAGCCAGCCCTTCAGTGCCACCCAAAGCACACCGCCTGGGGCTCCGGCGGCAATTTAAAGGGCCTGGGGTGGCGGCCTGGAGCCCTGGGCCCTTTGGAATCTCCAGGCCCTGGGGCAGTTGCCACTTTTGCTCCCTGCCTTAGCAGGCCTGCCGCTAGTACTGGAAGTAGAACCCAAGCATTTTGGCTCCCAGAATCAGTGACTGGAAGCTGTGCAGTTGTGTGATGACACACTTGCTTTGATGCTTGAATTGCAGGGTGTCCATGAACCTACAGGCCCCAGCAAAGGCTACCTACTGCTGGAAGAACTGGTTAAACAGGTGGTCTCACCATACCTGGGCTTGTGTGAGGATCACAGCTTTCCTGGTGGCACCTGCACGCTCGGTAAGACATAATGCACTGAAGCTGTTGTAAGTCGTCTTATTCCGGCACCTCCAGTGGTTAATAGAAGGAAACATGCCGTGTGCCAGACAAAGAAGATGGGAATTGACAGACACTCAGCTCCATGAGAGAGGGAGAGAGAGAGAATCAAAGGTTAAAAATATCCCCAAGTGGATTCTGATTGATACAGCCCTAGATGTAATTTAAGCACATGTGAAATGCTTTAGTTTTCCCCCTGCCACAGTCAGCTGTAATGTAACTCCACAAACACTCCCCACTCTCAGGGTGCTCCTGTGGGTGGACTGATTAAAAGCTGTCACTATGTTCTCTTCATATCCAGCACTTTGGCTTTTAGATTGCTCACCCTCTAGTCCAGTGAGAGATCTGACCTCTCTTCCCTCATCCCCTCTCCAACAGCCATTGCCAGCTGCCAGTTGTCCTCCCTACTCACCCAGTTTAGGCTTCTAGCTCCCAGTAGTCACCTCTTTCGGTGGAGACGTATGTCTGATTCTCTCTTGGAATTTTAAGCCTGCTGTCAATGGCCCTAGTGGCCTATAGGCACTTGTGGGGTGGTGACCCTCCCTGCGCAAGACAGGGCCAAGCTGCCCCTGCTTATTCTAGCCCTGTCTCTGGGGGTCGGGATGCCCAAGTCCTGGTGATGAGCCGTCGCTCAACGGGGGTCCTGGCCTACAGGGCTCCACGGACCTTTTGGGAGAGTCCTCTTTCTCATCCATGGGTCCCCCAACGGGTAGCTGGTAGATGCAGGGCTGCACCCTGCTCTGGTTCCTGCTATGCTACGGTGGCTCAGCGGGTACCCGCTACCCATTAGTCTATTGCCCTTAGTCCTGGCCTTGATGTGGCTTGGGGCAGGTTGCAGGTGGTGGTGGCGGCGGCGGCAGTGTTGGTATTGGTGTTGGAAGCATAGGGGGCCCCAGCCCAGGGCCCTCAAGACAGAGGTTGGTCCTTCAGAGGGGTCCCCTATAACTGATTCTGGCACTCACCCCAGTCCCTGTTAAGTCTCTTCCGCCCTGGGCCACTTCCTATCCCGCTATACGCTTTGCCTTCTGCTCCAGCCTTGACCGAGGCTTCCGCGCCTTACCACTGTGCACATCCGAGGTCTCCAGGTAGAGTCACCACCCTTGGGATGCTCGCATCCGAGGTCTCCAGGCCGAGGTAGAGTCACCACCCTTGGGATGCTCGCATCTGAGGTCTCCAGGCTGAGGTAGAGTCACCACCCTTGGGATGCTCGCAGCGGAGTTAGCTTCGAGGGGCCCACAGGCCCGGCTCTGTCGCTCCTTCCTGGGGAGTCCTTTGCTGGAATGGCAGCTGCTGGTGATCCTGAGGCTTGCCCGCCTGTCCCGGTCCTGATCTGGGGAACCCCTTTTGCCTTGTAGACCCTGCGGGGCTTGGTACTCCCCTGGGGCTACGGCCGCTTGGTATGGCCTTCTTCTGTTACCACTAGCCCGGCCTCTACCCCCACGCCTTTCCAGCCATGCTCCCTCCCCAGTTCTTCCGGTAGGCTGCTCTCCCTCTCCTCTCGCTGTGCCTCCCCTGATGTTGGCTTCTCTTTACCTCCTGGGCCGCTCCTTCCGTGGCCGGTTGCCCACTGCGTCGGCGTGCCTGCCAGCTTCCCCTTCTGAGCGTGCCGATGCTCCCTTTGAACGGCCCGCTAGGCCGTTCGCGCATGTGCAGCAGTGTCTCAGCATGCCTTGGCGCTTGGTGCCAGGCGCCACGGCCGGCTCTGAGAGGGGGCGAGGCGAGAGCACCCCGTCACACCTGCGCACCTCCACCTCTCGTATTACACTGTGATATCTGCAGTAAATCAGATTGTACATATGTGCTTTGCCTCTCTCCCAGGGCTGTGACTGTGTGTTGCCCTCAGTGAGCATGTTAGTTCTTAAGGTACAAGCATTATAGAGAAAACATATAAAAACAATAAGAATGCATACATGCATGGTAGCTAACCAGAGGTCACTCCCATTTCCAAATTCTGGGCAGAGTAATATGAAACCCACATCTGGGCTTTTCTTATGGTTATAAGTTCCTCTACATCTTAGGATATGTCTACACAGCAACATTATTTCGAAATAACTTATTCTGCATCTACACATCAGGCAGTTATTTCGAAATAATGTCTAAATACTGTCACTCTGGAGGACTTCTTACTCTGACTCCTGTAACCCTCATTGTATGAGGAGTAAGGAAAGTCGGAGGAAGAGTGCTCTATTTAGAAATAAGCGCTGTGTAGACACTCCCAATTTTGAAATGAGCTATTTCAAAATAAGCTCCACAACTGATGTAGCTCAATTTACCTAGCTTATTTCAAGATAAACCCTGCTGTGTAGACTCACCCTGAGATTCAGAACCAGAGCAAAGGCTGGACACATCAACCATTTCTTTATATAGCTTGAGCCTTTTGTTTTTGGCCTTCTGTAACAAGTAATCAGGAGACAATGACCTTTGCATCATGGTATAGCTTCTAAAGGCTGGGCTTTGTGTAAGTAGAGTTGGGGAATTTGCATGAACTTCTCCGTAGGGCTTCCCCGGGAAATTGACTTAATATTTATTGTCCCCAAAGTCCATATTCGACTGACACATTTTCAGTGTAGTGCTTTGAACTTCCAGGTCATATATTTGTCACTTCTCTCCCCATAGAGAAGTTATATACAATCCTGACCCATGATAATACATAAACTTAAAAGGTTAAAGCTATTTAAGGATATTGCAGGAAATTTCAATATTAGTTACAGGAATCTGGATAGGATAGGAGACAGATGGCTCCTCATTCGCAGTCTCCATCAGGAGAGAAAAGCCTTATGGTTATGGTACCTGACTGGCATGTGGCCTCCATTCTGGCTGCAAAACAAATTCACCCTATGACTTTTAAGTGAGTTATTTCTATTGGCCTTTTGTTCCTTCCTTCCTCAATGAAATGGAAGTGTTTGGCAAATTAGCTATTATTCAGCATATACTGTGGCAGTGCTAAGCGCTAAAATCCAAGTTGCCATCATTGTTACATTCACTTACTCAGCTAGAAGTGGTTAATCCACCTGCACTTGCAAGTGCAAAAGTAATCATTGTACAGACTGCTTGTCCTCCCTTCCCTCACATAGTGCAGTTGAATGTTGACCTTTTGGGTCTGTGTGTCTGGTTGCTTATGGGGATTTGCATACTGTTGGAATAATTTGAAGTGTAGCCACCTGAAAGTTTCTAGCCATCTTGTTTCCTGCCAAATGAGGAAGAAGCTAGTGTCATAAAAACCAGTTACATGCACTCTGGCCTTGTGATGTTTATGGCATTTAAAATCATTGTGTTTACTTTGATTTAGTTGCTGTTAACTTGTGTGTTTTTCCCAGACGGCCTTTTGCTCCAAGCCCCTTCCTTTTCTGAGCACGCAAGGAAAAAGAAAAAGGGAAAACTTGTGTTTGTGTCATACAGTGTTGGCAGCGAAGCAGAACTCTTCCCCAGATAATCTTGGCATTTCAAAAGCACACAAGCGCTTTAGCAAAGCGCTTTCCCTATTCTGCAGGCTCCCCTCACCCTGGTTCTGGAAGAGCCAAGAGGTAGCAGTCTGGCCTCTAATAGGGCTGCCAGTTGTGAAGTCCAGAAGGGACCATGTCACTGGGTAGCACTGTAGTAGCGGCTGAGAAATGATTGGTTAGACTCTGGATATAATGACATTCTCAACTGAATTAAGCTGTCCAGGGCAGGACTCAGGAATATAGCTGGGTAGATGGGTTGGTTGGTTGGCTTTTTTGAGATATGGAAGTTTGCACTGGCTAGGCCCCTGTTTTAGGTAAATAAAAGATTTCAGCCTCCAGGATTGTCAATCTGCCTATCTTTAAATCACATTAAATTTTATTTAAAAAAGGACAGGGAATGCAACCAGAACCAAAATGAAAGGGGGTGATGGAGACTGAGGGTGCTAGTAGGAGCAGCAGTTTACAAAGATTATGTGGCACTGAACTGGGAAGACAGAATCCAAGAGCCTAAGTATAGAGAGGCTGGACTGGGCCATTGAGAAACCATATAACTTCTGTCCTGTTATACACCCACCAGTCACTGTGAGTGAGGCTAGATTTTGGCAAGGACACTGTCAGATATGAGCCGCCCCTATTCTTTCAAGTTCTCTTTTGCTGCTCTTGCCTTACCCACTACCACCCTTCCTGTTTGTAGCTTTTTTTTGTTAGAACTTAACCACAGCTTGCCCCTGGACTAAGCTGCCTAGAAAACAAGTGTTTGCATTGTAAATGGGGAAGAAGATAAACCCTCCCCACAAGTGGAACTGATCCAACATGCAGAGGCTGTTTGGCAGGAATGTCTCTGCTCATCTGGCTATGCATCCAAAGATTCCCTCCAAAAACCTCCTGTTCAAGTTCCTGTTTCAGTCCTAACATATCAGATGTGAACTAAAATCACAGCCCAGCTATTTGTGAGAATGTCCGCAGGGCAGCATCTTGTGTGGCTTCTGGAAGGCTTGTGTGAGATACAGCCTTGTTTCTGGTTTGAATCGTCTCCTGTAAACCCATGAGTAATGCTGTCCATACCCACAGCCAGTGTTCTCTTCACCCTCTGCACAGTGAGCTGGCTGCACTGGGACTGAGTCAGAACAATCTGTGACTTTCAGACCTTGACTCTAAGCTAGGGAACATGAGTTTTGGAAATGGAAAATCAGACCATCTTTTTCACCAGAGTGCTACCCTGCAGGAAAGTTTTGAAGATCAAAAAGGAGTAGAGTGAGGTCTCGAGTGCAGTGTCTTACAATTTCTCTACTCACACTGCAGTGCACCTTCTGGTACACTTGACGAGGGGCCAAGAAGAAATTTTCTTCTCCCTCCTACTCCTCTGCATGACCACCATACACAACTATCTAGGTACATTGCTACTAGCCTTGGCTGATTGTTGTGGATGAGATGTGATGGCATGCTGCACAATGAGCAATGCGTGGCGCTGAGGAGGGAACAAAGCAAATGGGCTAAAGCGTGTTTGCTGCTGTTGGTGGC